AGGAATGCTTGGTACACAGCCTCTGGGCTCACCCTCTCATGACTAGCTCTTATTATGCTTCTCTGTGAACTCCATCTCTCCCTAGAACAGCTCTCCATCTCTTATCAGATGAAGGCCGGTTTTTTTCAACAATTCCTGCTCTGGGCCAGGCCCCATGCTGGGTCCTGGGTATGCACCAAGAACAAAACAGGCACAGTGCTTGCCCTCCTAATCTGGTGGCATCTTGAAAGGTTATGATGGGACAAGTACAGGGTATCTTTAGAGCATGTAGAAGGAAATCCTATCTCACACTTTAGGATCAGGAATGGCATCTAAACTGAAATCTAAAGGATGAGCAGGAGGGAGCCAGGTAAAGAGAATGGAGAGGAAGGAAGAAAGAACAGTCTATACAAAGGCTCAAGGCAAGAGAGATTGTGTCTGTGGAAGGAGCAGGAGGACACTCGGACTGACTAGAGTGCTGTGTGTCAGAAAAGGCAGGAGAGAGAAGCAGGGTCCAGATTCCCCTGGGCCTTGTAAGCCATGTTAGGGAGTTGGGACTTTATCCTGTGTATAATACGGTCATGGAAGTATTTTATGGGTTATCGGCTGTTATGGTCTAGAGAGATTCCAGCCTCCTCTGCTTCCAGGTCAACTGCCAAGCAGCCTTTAGACCCTTCCTTAAGGGGCAGGGTTCCTGGCAGCCTCTACTGACTGCTTGTCCAACCTCAACATTCATACAGATTCGCACCACCCACTGGACCACAGCCGGCCCCCAGATAGGCATACTGGACCTCTGTCTTGCACAGTTGTCATGCCAGAAGCCAAGCCCACCTCCCATCTCCCTTGAACTTACCACCATACCTTTCCTCATGCGGTATCCTTCACCTCTTCTCTCTCCACCTACCCAGTCTACCCATCCAGAGCCAATGACACTTCCCGCAGGAAGCCTTTTTTGACAACTGTGATTTCAGGTCTCTTTTTTATTTGAGTTCCTACATCACACAGTTTGGCTTTTTAAAATTTAGTTCTGATAGCTGTTTGTCCCCATATATCCTTCCTCACCTTCCTCATCTTCTGCCTTTAAAATACAGCCTCCATTTTTAAATCTGGTCATATGGCTACATGGGCAGAAGACAATGTTTCTCAGGCTCTCTTGTAATTAGGTGTGACCATGGGACTAAGTTCTGACCAATGAGATGTAAGTGAAAGTATCATGTGGATGTTCTGGAAATTTTCTTAAAGGGAAGAGGCTGCTCTTCTTCCACCCTCTCTCCTGCTTTGTGCTCCCATCCCCCCACCACCTCGGGCATCTTTATGCCTGTGCTCACACTATGCTTTCTTTCTAAATGCTCGGGCATCTTTATGCCTGTGCTCACACTATGCTTTCTTTCTAAATGCTCTCCTCTCCTTCTTCACCTGCGGACTTTCAGGGGCACAGCTTGTGGGAAAGCTTTCCTTGTTTGTCATTTATGTGGCAAAAGACGTTGCTGACTTTCCCATAGCTGTGTCACA